ACTGATAAGTCTGGTTCTTCCCAGGTGGGTACTGGGGAGCCATGGAAGGGCTGTGAAGCGGGGACGGATAATACAAAATATATTTTTGAAGGAGCAGGTGCCACAAGTGGTTTCGGATCAGATGCTAACCTAGAAGTTGGCAGTTCAAAGGCACCCAGCAGTGATGTGTAAGAAAGTCCTGGTAATAGAATATCATACAGAGCAGTTCTTTCTCTGTCACACATGGGGTCCTCATGAGTCAGGGGCCAACTGAATGGCCATTAACAATAAAAACAACATCATCTCTATTTAAACAGGCACCAGATCATGCACCAAGCCTCGTAAAGTCTATTAAAAATTCAAAGTCACACGGAAGAAAGATGAGGCTTTCTGCTCCTGTGAAGATGATTCGAGAAGCACTTAACAACAACTTGCATATACAGTGGTTCAAAATAACAAATGGGCGCTACTGTGCCATGCACCTCAAAGCATTATCATTACAGTATTATTAAAGAAGTTTTAGTGTATCGAAAAGTGTTTGTTTAATGTTTTATGCATAGAAAGGTCACACTATACTATATAGTAAAACAAACATTCCAACTTAAGGTACAAATTCGACTAAAAGGCCAGAACAGAGCTTGCTCATAATCTGGGGGCTGCCTGTATACAAAATATATGAAAGTAAAAAGACTACAGAATATCCGTTTGAACCTCTCTCTTCCTGGAATAGAGTGGAGGTCTCCAGAGTAAAGAAGTAGAAAGGAACCTTCTACCAGCATGGTTACTAGGTGAGGAGGGATCAGGAAGCAAAGGGGCTGATGGAGATCCATTGGCAATACAATGAGTCTATCAGGAGACTTAAGAATTTACCTGGGAAGAGAAGGATGGATCAGACTGGCATGCTCAGGTGTGGAACCAAGTGCTTAACAAACAATTTCAGATACACTAAAACATCTTTAAATAATAATACAGTCAGCTTCCAAAAGAATCCCCAGTGACTCTTATAAATCTGGCATTTGTGCCCTGTGTAATCTCATCAAATAGAGTCAACCTACAAACATTTAATAACAACAACAAATGCAACAGAACATGGCAGACAGGGCTGGGTGTGACTTCCGAGGCTAGGTGATAAAAAAGACATTGCTTTAGGTGTGGGGAGTTTCTTCCCTTGCCGTGAGACCAGAAGAACTCGATGGTGCCAAGCTATGGTTACTGAATGTTTGATGGAAGATTCTGTAGAAGAATCCTGATCAAAAAGGGTAAAATATGGAATAGAATTCCAAATTCTTACAGAATCCGACATTCTGGAGCCATTGAGACTGGATGAACCCCCAAAATTTCAGCCCTGAGATCATCCTTAAACCTTAAACCAAAAGTATCCCCTGAAAGCTCTTTCAAAACAAACATTTAGTTTAATTAGTATAGTCTGCCTTGAGCAGTGTGCACTTTAAAAACAAAGTATATGAGACCAAATTGGTAACAGAAGCTCAGAGGTTAGAGAGGAGGTTTAGGGATGTTAGAGAAAGGTACAGACAGGAAGAAAAAAACTGGACAGACAATTCTCTTGCAAAAGCACGGATCTTGCAAATCACAGGTGGGGCAGGAAATGAAACTTACCAAAACACTTAAGAGTTTTTAGTGACTAACAGCAACTGTTATGCCCCTGGGGCACAGAGTCTGCCAGATGCAGAAATCCACAAACCACAAACTCTAGTAGCTGACACACAGGATAGCACAATAACAATTTATTTGGACAGGATGTTAACCTCAATATGGTGCTTCAGAACCAGACCTGGGTCTCAAACCACAGTCTTAGATGTGATACACATACCTGAGACATGAGCACCCAACCAGAGAAACCAGGAGACAGAAAGCAACATCTAAAACCTGCAAGATGTTGTCAACAGTTCTGGGAACCTGCTGAGACTACTCTTTCAATGTTCCCTAGTCTTTAGCTGTGTAACACTCTCAGAGGCTGGGAGCTCTCAGGGAGATGCTACTGTCTGTGGCATGTCTACCCAGCAGGTTTTCCTTTCTTCAATAAACCCTTGCCATTTCACTTCATGACTTTCTAGTCTTCTGTGGCCCACCCCAGTAACAGGGGCAGCGGGGGAGGAAGAATTTGGAAAATGAGGGTGAGAAAAGCTGAACAATTTGAAGACTGTTGAGAGAAGGATTTTAATAGTTAAATATTTTTCAACTGAACAGGAAAAGGTAAAAACATTCACTGCCCTCTCTGTCCAGGAGACAAGCTAAAATGTTAATCAGGTTATTGAGTGGGACCAATCCTCTGGTTCCCTACTGTCTTATAACTCCTTCCCGATTTTGACCCCATATAAGTCTACGCTGCCTTATGTTCGGGACTCAGAATCTGGAGACATTAGCTCCTCTGAGGCAACTGGCTTAATAAAATCTGAAACTGCTTTACCTCTCTGAGTGGTCTCGGTTTCTTCGACAACGGATCAAGAGCTGCAGTGACACTCTGGAATCTAAAATTGCTATAACAAAACCTCTTTAATCATTGTTCCAACATTGCTGTCCTAACTTCTCCCTTGTGTATGTGCTCCTGGGACATGTAGCTGAAGAACATAGTGGTGTATTAATGACAACTCAGAAGAAAGACACAAGTCTGGAGGAAGGAAACCAGAGGAGAGAAACTGTCTGGTGCCCAGTGTCTTGAGTAACACCACTCTTTGTCTTCAGGGGAAAGAGGAAGTTACTCCTAGAGGGTAAGGGACCTTGAGCAGGTGGAGTACAGACTGTCTTCCAGGACGAGAGGAGCCATTAAGCTCTGAGAAATGAAATGTGCCAAAAAAACAAATGGGTTAATATCTAGGAGAATATAAAAATGCCAACTGTTTGGGGGAAGGCAAGGCAGTCTTTCAGAGAAAGATCTCACTGCCTTCAGATCTGTCAATAAAACGTATGTTGATTCTCACCCCACTCTGTTACTGGCTTGCAGAGGCTGGCAGACAGCCTTTTGTTTGGAAATGATGTCACTGAATTGTACAGGTAAAAATTGTTGAACTGGTTTATTTTTGCTGTGCATACTTTCAACAACAATTTAAAATAATAACACAAAATATAACACTTTACTAGCTCTTGGATCGCTTGCTCTGAGACGTCTGCTGCCATGTCTGATGAGGGTGACGTGGGTAAGCTTGTAGTTTTCATAGTTCAGTTTTCATACCACTAGAGCCCATTTGATAACTTGACCGCATCATGAGAACCCCTGAGCCAGAATCATCCAGCTGATCCCTTCTCTAGTTCCTGACTGTGATATTGTTAAGGTTTTATATCAGCTTGACTGCGCCAAGATTGTCAGCAGTTTGGCAGATGAAATGTACGAGAATGAGTCGAAAATGATCTGCACTCTGGTTACATGAAAACGCCCTTCCACCGTCCATGGCTGATGGCAACATCGCGCATGCCCGTGAAATGATTCTGTTGAATAGAAGTGGCTATTCATTCATAAATCAGCCATGGCTCTATCTGTGGAATAATCCACGAAAGACTTGGGTTTTTTTTTTTTTAAGCTGGTACAAGTTGGGTACTGAAACAATTCACAAAAAAGCATAAACAGAAGCGTTTGAACATCTGTAAGCAAAATTTAGACCGACGCTCGAAGGAAGGCATACATTTCTTTTTTTAAAAAATCACTACAGGTGATGAGACATGGATTCATCACTATGATCCTGAGAGTAAACCGCAGACTGTGGAATGGAAACATCCTTAATCGCCGACCAAGAGAAAGTTCCATCAGCTGGAAAATTGATGTTTACTCACACACACCCAACAACACCAACAACCCTCAAAGCAACCCAGGAAGGTAGAGATTGTATCTGTTCTCATTTTGTGAAGGAGGAAAAGAAAGGCACAGAGAAGTACATTAACTTGCCCAAAGTTACACAGCATACAAGTGGTCATACTGGGATTTGAACCTAGCCTCACTCCAGGGTCTAGGTGTTCAACCACTGGGCCAGGCTAGCTTTGGCCAGCTGTGGCTGATACTAGAAGGAGCTGAAATGAATACTTTCTTTTGGATGGATCAGCATAAAGCTGGTTTCTATGAGACAGAGGTTAAAGGTGTTCCAATGGTCCTTTTTTTTTTTTCCAAATGGTTGGACTATTCCATTGCCTCTAGTATCAATTCTTCCCCCTCCCCTTAGCACTCTCCCTCACGTCCTTAGGTTCTGAACTTCACTGGAACATCTCACAGAGTTTACAAATCCCAGGGAACTAGCTTCCATGGTGGTTGAGGCTGCTAAGTCCCAAACCTGTGGATCCAAACTTTCCCCTTAGTCTCATCAACAGATTTATCCCCATATCTCACCCCCGCCCAGGCTACACTTAGGCTCATTCAAGGTTTTATTGCCAGGTTTGGGGATTAAAACATATTAGGATCTTGTGTCTCTTCCCTAGCCTGAGGTCATTTCACACACAAATGTACATATGACCTTGGGTCCCCAGCTGGGGGCTGGACCAGAAGACCTTGTCATCCATCAAATCTCATCTTGATCAACCAGCAGAGCCTCTGCTTCAAATAATTCTAGGAGGGTCTTCCTCTCATTATTAAAGAACCTTGTTCTTTAGTGTGGTCCAGTTGGTTCCAACTCATAGCGACCCTCTATAGGGTTCCCGAGGAGCAGCTGGTGGGTTTGAACTGCCGACCTTGTGGTTCGCAGTCCAGTACTGATCCTACAGCGCCACACCAGGAGCCTTACAGAGCCCCACTGTTGACGGGGCAAGAGAAGAACAGACTGAAGGAAGTGGGGGGAGGGCAGAGAAAGGGAGTCTGGAATGTCCAATGTTGGGGAGGGGGGAGTCTCCTTCCCTGCATCTGTTTCTTTGTCTTCCAGCACTCACAACAATGTGTGTGTGTGGCGGGGGGTCTAGATCCTTATACTCCTAGCTCGGCATGCTGCGACCTGTTTCTATGGGGGCCGCGAGGCCAGGTTAATGAGCAGGTAAGGCCGGGGCACAGCCAGTGGGGCTGAGCTCAGCGTCTGGGCTGCGTGGAAATGGCTGGGCCACAGTTTGGCGGTCACCTCGCGGCCGGATCTCTCCTGCTATTGCTGTTGACCGGGGCCCTGGCAGAAAGACCCCTGCTGTTCGTGGCTCTGGTGAGGTAGCCCCTGCCCCTGCCTGATCTCTCGCTCCCTCTCCCAGTCCAGCCCTGACCAGGTCCTGTCCCCAGGTGTTCCGCCATGGTGACAGGGCCCCACTGGCCTCCTACCCCACGGACCCGCATAAGGAGGCGGCCCCCACCTTGTGGCCACGTGGTCTGGGCCAGCTGACCAGGGTGAGAAGTTGGTGGGTGGGGACTGGGGCTGGGTAGGGGTGGGAAGGGGGTCTGCTGAGGCCTGCTCTATCCCTAGGAGGGGGTCCATCAGCAGCTGGAGCTGGGCCGCTTCCTGAGGAGCCGCTATAAGACCTTTCTGAGTCCTGAGTACCGAAGGGAGGAGGTACTGCCATGGGGACCCTGACCTGATCTCTCACCTCTGACCTCCACTGGCTCTGGCATTTCTTCTGGGCACTCACCTCAGGCCCCCTCCACCAACCTGACCTGCACCTGACTTCTGAACCCTCAGAGACTCCATACTAACCTCTGATTCCCTTTCTTTCAACCTGTCTTGTCTTGACATCCTACTTCCAACCTTTATCAACACTGACCCTCCTGAACTTGTTGACTGACCTTCCGACCTCCCAACCTCACATGATGCTTGTACCTCTGACATGGTCTCTTCCAACCTGCCCTTTTTATCTTGACCTTTGGCCTCCAACTTTGTACTCGAATTTACTTTTAGAAACCACCTCTGCCTTCTGACTCCCACAAACCACATATTCTGACCTCTGACCCCAAATTTGATTTTTTTCTACCCCATCAATTCAATCTGCCTTCCTGACCCCTCTGCCTTTATCTCTATCTTTCGTGAATTCTGACCTTCTGTCTCTTTTTTCTTTTGACTCTCCCCGTCCCCATTTGGGATCAGTCTGCCCAACTTCTGTTCTCTGATCCCCGACAGACAAGTGCTAACTTTGATACCATGTTCTCCAACCTGCTCTCCTCATCTTGACCTCTGATTTCCAGCCCCCACCAATGCTGATCTTTTTTTTTTTTCAATGTTTTATTGTGAATTCTGTGATAGTTTACATGGGAGAACATTAGTTTTACATTTATTCTATCGTATATTGTCTCATTGCCATGGCTACAATCCCCTCCATGCAATCCTTCCCCCATACCCCCAATGCTGATCTTTCTTATGTCCATCAACACAAGGAACCCTTTGACCTCTGACATTCTTTACCTATGTCCACCCAACTTCTGACCTTCAAACAGACTGCCATGGACTTCTGACCCTTGACCCCAGTTGCACACATTGAAGGCCAGGTGCCTGCTGTGAGATTTGAGTCCCAGTGGCTGACTTTTAGCCCTTCTCCATGACCTTTAACCTACGCCAAAACTGAAATATGAAGTTTTGGTTGTGCCATAAGAGTCCCAACCAGTTCTTCCCAGTTCAGTCATGGCTGAGGTGGCAAAACCAGAACGGACCCGAATGTTTAAATTTGGGATCAACTGCAACAATGACGAACAGGAAAAATGGCATGGCATAGCAATTTCCTCTCCCTCTTAGAAAACAAGAGTATGCAATAAATGTTGCATAGCAACCAAATCTCTTGTTCACTCCATATTGAGCAGCGTCAGAAACAACAGTGCCCGACTCAAAGATGGCGGCTGACCACAGCTTTTGAGTATGTGTGTGTGTACAATACATGTTGCATAGCAACCAAATCTCTTGTCCAATAGATTTTGAGCAGCTTCAGAAATAACAGTGCCCGCCTCAAAGATGGCGGCTGGCCACAGCTTTTGAGTATGTGTGCTCTCCACCAGCTTGGCAAATCTCCGTTCTCCCACATCAGGGTCCTGAAAGAACTCACCACGACGCTCCCCAGGTCCTCCTCGAGGGCTTTCAGCCATCATTTTCCCGGTTCCATTTCCTTTATAGATCACCCACATTTAAAAAATTCTGGTTCTTTTGTGTTTCACTTCATCAGTAATGGCTGAACTAGTTGTAACCAGTTCAAATCTCTGGTTTGCCAGCACACCTGGCCTCTGACCCTCATTGAGGTCCTCAGAGTGCCCCCCACCCCTTTTAGGTGTACATCCGCAGCACGGACTTTGACCGGACGCTGGAGAGCGCTCAGGCTAACCTCGCTGGTCTCTTCCCTGAGGCTGCTCCCGGGACCCCCGAGTCTAACTGGAGACCAATCCCCGTACACACGGTGCCTGTCACTGAGGACAAGGTGAGAGGTTGTGGGGAGAGAGGAATGGAAACAGAAACCATGAGAGACAGAGCCCGAGGGGCTGAGGCTTGGAGTGAGGCCTCCAGGACTTCCCATCCAGCACTGACTTCATGGGGACAGCTGCCTACATCCCCGCACCCCACCCCCAGCTGTGGCATCCCAGACACGTGACTACCTTCCCTCTCTGAGCCTCAGTTTCCCCACTCACTTCCAGCTGCTGAGATTCCCCACGCGGAACTGTCCCCGCTACCGTGAGCTGCTTCAAGAAGCCACACAAACCGCTGAATACCAGGCTGCCCTGGAAGGCTGGACAGTGAGCGGGGTTGGAGTGGGGTTGGTGGAGGGGGTCGGTGGGAGAAAGACGCCACCTAAGCTCACCTAAGCCCGTGGGTCCAGGACTTCCTGACACGCCTGGGCAACTCCACTGGGCTGTCGCTGGTTGGGGAGCCGCTTCGTAGAGCATGGAAGGTTCTGGACACGCTGATCTGCCAGGTGAGTCCCCAGCCAAATGGTGAAGGGTTGTTGTTAAGTGCCATCGAGTCGGTTCCGACCCATAGCGACTGACCAAAGAGCTGCTGAGCTCGAGCCGCCAATCTTGCCGTTCAAATGGCTTTGCAATCAGACGCATTAACCCACCGCGTCACACCAGGACTCCTAAGTGATGAAGGGTACTTGGGTTCAAGTCCCAATCTTACCATTGACTAGCTGAGCTTCCTCGGACTAGTTACTTAAACGCCTGTGCCTCAGCGTCCTCATCGGCAACCATGTTACAGGTATTGACAGGTCCTGAGGGGGTTAGGGGTGGGGGTTATGAAGATTAAATGAATTCTTCCTCATCCTGGCTATAGAGCCGCGCTCAGGACGCATGCGTAGTAAGGGTTTCAGCAGGGGTTTGCAGCCGAGTGTTTGCAATTAAATACCTGATGTCCTGCAATCCGAAACTTATTTTTGATAAATGTTGTTAAGTGCTGTCAAGTCGGTTCCGACTCATAGGACCCTGTATAGGGTTTCCAAGGAGCCGCTGGTGGGTTTGAACTGTCGACCTCGTGGTTCGCAGTCCAGTGCTGATACTACAGCTCCACACCAGGGGTACTTTCTAATGAACAGAAGGAGGGTATATGGTGACGCTACAACAAGCAAGTCTATTGGCGCCATTTTTCCAACTGCAATGAGCCTGCGCTCATTGTGTCTCTGCTGCGTTTTGGTCATTCTTGCAATGTTTCACGCTTTTTCTTCAAGCTATCGCAGAGTTCATGGGAAGCGCCGTGGCTCGGTAGGCTTAGCACTGGTCGGGGGTTCGAGCCCACTAGCTGCTCTGCGGAAGAAAGGTTTTCTGCTCCTGCAAAGATTTATAGCCTCGGAAACCCTATTACGGTGTCTGTGAGCCGGAACCGATTGAACGGCACTTAATAAAAACAATTGCACACTACGACAGTTTAGTGTGGACATTTGTTGTTATTGGTAAGGGCGGTCGCGTCGGTTACGACTCAGAGCGACCCTGCACAGGGTTTCCGAGGAGTGGCTGGTAGGTTTGAACCACCAGCTTGCAATTCAAACATTTTTGTGTAGCTTACCTGATGGCGATGTTCACTGTGTTGGATCAGCAATCTCTCCGAGGTCGATCTGCATTCCTAGTTTTACAGCAGAATTATAAATATGTCATATATGGAGTCTCCCCAGGATCGACCTCCCTGACACGTGGTATATGAACCCTAGTAGGTTTCCACAATCTCAAAGGCTGTGAATTTCAAAACACATCTGACCCCAGGGTTTCGGATAAAACTGGTCAGCTGTTGTATAATTACATGTTAATGATATATATAATCACGCATGAGAATTATATCATTATCATTACTGTGGTTGTGAAGTGCTGACAACCCAGTTCACACTCCTGGGGACCCAGGCGTGTCAGACTAGAAAGCTGTGCTCCTCGGGGTTTTCAATGGCTGAGTTTTCAGAAGTAGACAGCCAGGCCTTTCTTCTGAGGTACCTCTGGGTGGGTTCAAATCGCCCACTTTCTGGCTTAATAGTTGAGTACTTAACTGTTTGTACCATCCAAGGACTCTTCATTCATGACTTACCATATATAATTTTGTTATTATAAGATAGCAGTAATTATATTTGATAGAATTTCTATAATAAACCATCCTATTTTATAGAATATAGAATGTATATTTTTGCATACAATTAAGAGTCCCTGAGTGGCACAAATAGTTAAATATTCAATTACTTGCTGGAGGTTGGCAGCGAAAATCTCGGCCCTCAATGGGATGGATTAACACAGTGGCCGTAACAATGGGCTTAAACATGGCAATGATGACGAGGCAAGGATGGTGCAGGATGGGCAGTGTTTCATTCTGCTGCACATTGTTGTTGTTAAGTGCTATCTAGTCGGTTCTGGTTCATAGTGACCCTGTATAGGGTTTCCGAGGATTGGCTGATGTATTTGAACTGCTGACCTTGTGGTTCACAGTCCAGTGCTGATCCTACAATGCCACACCAAGAGTCCCTGTTGTCTATGGAGCTGCTTTAAGTTGGAACCGATTGGATAGCACCTAACCACAGCAATAGTAGTCACAGGCGTACAAACCTATGGCACAGAATCAACTTGATGGCAACTAACAACATATTGGAGTGCTGGTGTGGCGCTGTAGGATAACACACTGGACTACAAGGTCAGTTTGAACCACAGGGTCGGTGGTTCAAACTGACCAGTCACTCCTTGGAAATGGTACACAGGGTCACCATGGAGTCCTGATGTGGTGCTGCGTGGTAAGCACTGGACCACAAGGCCGGTTTGTTTGAACCACAAAGTTGGCGGTTCGAACTCACCAGTCACTCCTCAGAAACCCTATACAGGTTTGCTATGAGTCAGAACCGACTTGACAACACTTAACAATAGTAACGTGAGACAGAACTGATAACCATGGCACTTAACTACAACAACAACATGTAACTATGAAATATAAATACATTACTATTACTGCTTATGACCATTGCCCACCCCATAACTTCTCCAACCAACCCCAGCCCTGCAGGGGATGGAGATAGATTCGAGCACTAGTGTGGAGGAGGCCTTCAGGGGGCAGTAAGAGCCAAGGATATTCTGTCTCTGTTCTCTCTTCCCATCTCTCCCCAGCAAGCTCATGGTCTTCCCCTCCCATCCTGGGCCTCCTCAGATGTCCTGCAGACACTCACCCAGATCTCAGCTTTGGACATTGGGGCCCATGTAGGCCCACCCCGGGCAGCCGAGAAAGCCCAGCTGGCAGGGGGTGAGATATCTATCGGGCTGGGAGGCAGGGAGGTCTCGGGGCCTTCACCTGAGGTTTCCAGCACTCTGTCCCCACTCCATCAGGTATACTGCTGGATGCCATCCTTGCCAACTTCTCGCGGGTCCAGCACCTGGGACTGCCCCTGAAGATGGTTATGTACTCAGCTGTGAGTCCAAGGGATATGATGAAAGGGGTGGCAGTTTGGGTGAGAAAGAGTCGGTAATTCCAATGGGACCTCAACCCATTGCCTTGGGTAACCCCTATCTTTAAACCTTACTCTCAGACCTTATCATTAGAGGTATAAAGTCTGGAAGGAGGGGAGGTGATGGTGTCATGGAGAAAAAATTACCTCCTCTGAAAGGAGAGGCTGTTTAATGGAGCCATCTGATCCTATTTTGGATTCCTTTGCTCTTTTTGGGTGAAAAGGTCACATGTAACTTGGTGGAACCATCTTTGGGCTGGGGGTTGGTGGGAGCAGGTTTGGGAGGTGGGCACAGGGTGTCAGGAGAACATCTGGTCTCAGCCCTCGGATCTGCCTGCAGCACGACAGCACGCTGCTGGCCCTCCAGGGAGCCCTAGGTCTGTACGATGGTCACACCCCGCCATATGCTGCCTGCCTTGGCTTTGAGTTCCAGAGGCGCCCTGGGGTCCCAGACGAAGATGGAAGGTAAGGGATGGCTGAGCAGAATTCTCAAGAGGAGGGGTAGTGTGAGCCACACAGAGCGCATGACCCAGGCTTCAACCTGGAGGGGATTTGCATGTTAGGAAATCCACATGTGGGAGTCAGGGGCCCCCAGGCCCTTCATTTCCCTGATACTCTGCCTCATTTTCTCCAGTCAGGGGAGTTGGAGAAAGGTCCAATGTCACCAACTTCTCTCTGCCCCCAGGAACATCACAGTCTCCCTGTTCTACCGCAATGATTCCTCTCATCCGCCCCTGATCCTCAGCCTCCCTGGGTGCCCTGCCCCCTGCCCATTGGGCCGCTTCCGCCAGTTGACAGCCCCGGCCCGGCCCCCGGCACATGGGACCCCCTGCCACAACGTCCAGGAGCCCGCCACCCCTGCAGGTGAGGTCGTTGGTGATGGGCTGGAGGGTAGGGGAACCCCCAAGTTAAGCCCTGAAACTCACAACCCCTGTCCTAGCTATCTTGAGAGGCGGTAAAGCAACACTATAGGTGGATGGCATTAACAAGCAAGACGTTTGTTTTTCAGTGTTGTTGTTAGGTGCCTTTCAGTCGGTATCAACTCATAGTGACCCCATGCACAACAGAACGAAACACTGCCCGATCCTGGGCCAACCTACAATTGTTGCCACGCTTGAGCCCATGGATGCTGTCACTTGGCCAATCCATCTCTCTGGGGGTCTTCTTTTCTCTGACCCTCCCTCCACATTACCAAACATGATATCCTTCTCCAGTGACTGGTCCCTCCTGACAATATGTCCGAAGTATGAAAGATGAAGTTTGGCCATCCTGGCCTCTAAGGAGCACTCTGGCTGCACTTCTTCCAACACAGATCTGTTGGTTCTTTTGGCAGCCCATGGCACTTTCAGTATTCTCCTCCAACAAAAGCATCAATTTTTCTACGGTCTTCCTTATTCACTGTCCAGCTTTCACATGCATATGAGGTTACTGAAAATACCATGGCTTGGGTCAGGCGCACCTTAGTCTTCAAGCTGACATCTTTGCTCTTCGACACTTTAAAAAGGTCTTGTGCAGCAGATTTGCCTAATGCAGTACGTCGTTTGATTTCTTGACTGCTGCTTCCATGAGTGTTGATCCTAGAAGAATGAAGTCCTTGACAACTTCAATCTTTTCTGCGCTAAGAATGTTGTTTATTGGTCCAGTGGTGAGGATTTTTGTTTTCTTTACATTGAGACACAATCCATACTGAAGGCTGTGCTCTTTGGTCTTCATCAGTAAATATTTTAAGTCCTCTTCACTTTCAGCAAGCAAGGTTGTATCATCTACATATTGCAGGTTGTTAACAAGTCTTCCTCCAATCCTGATGCCACGTTTTTCTTGATATAACCCAGATTCTCAAATTATTTGCTTAGGATACAGGTTGAATAAGTATGGCGTAAGAATACAATCTTGTCGCAGACCTTTTTAAATTTTAAACCGTTCAGTGTTCCCATGTTCTGTTCTGGTCCAGGTACAGATTCCTCATGAACACAATTAAGTGTTCAGGAATACTCATACTTTGCAATGTTGTCCATAGCTTGTCATGATCCACACAATTGAAAGCCTTTGCATAGTCGATAAAGCACAGGTAAACATCTTTCTGATATTCTCTGCTTTCAGCTAAGATCCGTTGGACATCAGCAATGATATCCCTTGTTTCATTTTTCAGTCTAGGAGGCTAGAAGTCTGAACTTGGGCTGCTGGCTCTAGGGGGAAGCTCTCACTGTTGGCTGTGGTGTGTCTTTTCTGTTTCTGTGCCTGGGTCCTTGGTGATCCTGGCATGGCATTTGTCTTCCATGCATCCATGTCTTCCTTTGCTGCTTAATCAGCTCCTTTAAATCACGATAGATTGATTCAAAATACATCCTGCACGAATACAGGCAGCATCAGACTTATGACGAGGTTCCGTTCTGACAGCTTTGTCGTAAGACGGTTCAAACTTTGATGTAAGTCGCTTCAGACGTAGGATGAATTCTTTGTTTTTTTTTTTAAGACATGTTTTCATTATTACTGACTTTTGTTATCAGTATCTTTATAAATCTGATCTTTGTCTTTGGGGGTTGGAAACATTACATACATGCTTCTCTATATATGTGTAGGTTATGTCTCAAGTGTGCCTCCTAATAACTAGAAGCCACTGCCAACATGTTGATTCTGACTCACAGCGACCCTATAGGGCAGAGAAGGGTTTCCAAGACTATCATCTTTACAGAAGCAAACTGCTGCAGACAGCCGGTGTTTTCTCCCTTGGAGTCACTTAGGGGTTTCAACCACTGACTTGTGGTTAGCAGCCGAGTGCTTAGCCCACTGCGCCATCCGTATTCCTCACAGTAACTAGGTGTTAAGCGCTGTGGAGTCGGTTCTGATTCATAGTGAGCCTGTATAGTTTCTAAGGAGCGGCTGGTGAGTCTCAGCTGCAAACCTTGTGGTTAGTAGTCCAGTGCTTATCACACACCACATCCGAATCCCATAGTAACTATATCATAAATAAGGGTGACTCTCAGGACTTCTCCATTAACATGATAAAGAAAACCCATTTCCAAATGGGACCACAATCCCAAGTGTGTTGTTGTTTACTGCTGACCTGTGACCCTGTACAGAATTTCCGGGGCGTGGTTGGTGGGTTTGCCGCTGGTCACTGTAGTCAATCACAGAGACAGGAAGAGATCCGATCTAAGCTTTAGTAACAGAAAGCCAGCAGTCTGGAGGACAGGAGGATGATCCCTCAAGACTGTCCTGTCCCTCATAAAGAGCAGGCGCGTTATATAGGGTAAGCTACATTTAGATGGACACTTAATACATCAGGATAGCATTCTTTGGGAAAAGAAACAGCAAGGCAATAAACTTTCTCAAACTTTCTGCCTTTAGGGTCTCAGCTTCTTTGTCCCTGAGATAACTATCTAGGGGGGCTAAGTGCATGCTGGTCTCCTTTTAGGGCCATTAAAATCATCTTGGCTAATTTTTAAACTAACTTCCTCATTTGCAGGGTCTTCATTTATTGAGGGAGTCCTGGTGCGGTGCTGTGGGTTAATGTGCTGGATTGCAAAGTTGGTTTGAACCACAAGGTCTGTGGTTCAAGTTCACCAGCTGCTCCTTGAAAACCCTATACATGGTTGCTATGAGTCGGAACTGACTTAACATTTGTTGAGATCTGGAGTCCTGGTGTGGGGCTGTGGGTTAATGCGCTGGACTACAAAGTCGGTTTGAACTGTAAGGTCGCAGGTTCAAGCTCACCAGCGGCTCCTTGAAAACCCTATACAGGGTCGCAACCGACTTGACGGCACACAACAACAACAATGACCAAATCCACTCCATTTTGTTTAGGTCGGTAGATCCAGTTTGAACTTCTGACTTGGGGATTAGCAAGTCCAGTGCTTATCCTACAGCACCAAACCAGGTGTAGGGGCTGAGGATTTACAGCAAATACTTTGGGGGAGGGGGGGGATGCAACTCAATCCCTAACTGCCCCTCACCCCTGTATTCTTGCCGTAGCCACCATGGTGCCCCTGCTGGCTGGAGCCGTGGCTGTCCTAGCATCCCTGAGCGTGGGGCTCAGCCTCCTAGCCTGGAGACCTGTCTGCCTGCGGTCCTGGGGGGGCCCTGTGTGAGCTCTGCCCCCTTCCAGCTGACCCCAGAGCCCAACACGACTGCTCACCCACTGCTTCTCTGGCTCCTGTGATTTACTGTGCGCACCTGTGCATGGGCCTGGGGTGGGAGCGGGGGCGGGGACACGCTGTCTACATGCAGGTATGGGACACACACACTCACATGGGTCTACACTTGCTACACCTGTGCACACAGATGCTTGTTTTTGTACTTAATGGTGTGTGCACATGTCTGTGAGCGTCTGAAGCTTGGTACATTGCTGTGGTTAAGTGCCTTTGAGTCGGTTCCGACTAAGGTTTCTGAGGAACGGCCGGTGAGTTTGAACCGCCATCCTTGCGGTTCAAACTGACCTTGTGGTCCACTGCTTATCCTACAGCGCCACCCCAGAGTGTGGTGCGTCACAGACATTTGGTACCTGGATTCATAGAGTTTTCCAGTTTAGTAACTGGCAAAGTTATTAAAAAAAGAAAAAGAACAAACAACCTCCTCCCAACCCAGAAAAGGTAAACATCTGGTAGCGTAGTGGTTATGAATCGGGCTGCTAATCTCACTGTCAGCAGTTCGAAACTACCAGCTGTTACGCGGGAGAATGATGAGGCGTTCTGCTGCCGTAAAGACTTACAGCCTGGGAAACCCTGTGCAGGTTCGCTATGAGTTGAACCGATCCCATGGCACATAACAACAACAACAACCCAGAAAAACCTTTCCATGAAAACAGAAGAGAAGGAAAATTTGCATGACCGAAAATGCGTTAAACCAGAAGGCGTGGCGTCACAGACTGGAAAAAGAGATCTCAGAGACAGAAGGGAATCTTTAACTGTGGTCAGGTTGATGCCGACTTGATTCTACTCTGTTCTTACTGAGCAGAACCTCTCGCTTGGGTTTCTGACATGAAAACTCTGATGAACAGATCGCCTCATCTTTCTCTCTTTGAGTTAGCTGTTGGGTTTTAACTGCCCTTTCGGTGAGCAACCCAGCACTTAGCTCATTGTGTCACCAGGCTCCTTGTTATATAGGTTATTGCTGCTAAGTGTCATCGTCAAGTAGGTTCTGATTCAGTAACTCTCTAGAGGGTTTCCAAGGAGATGCTGGTGGGTTTGAACCACCAACCTTGTGGTTAGCAGCCCAGTGCTTGTCCTACAGCACACAGCAGGACTCCTGCTATGTTGGTGATGGTAGTGGTGTGCTGTCGAGGGTTTCCAAGACTGTAAATCTTTACGGGAACAGAAAGCATCCTAAGGAGATATAAGATTCATGGTTTAAAAATCTGTTAATTTTCCAGTCCTCTGGCTTGGAGCTAAGGCTGGGTAACCAGTTTCTGCTCGTTTTCTTCTAGATCAGGGGAGGTGGTTAAGTGCTGTTGAATCGGTTCTGACTCATAGTGACCCTGTATAGGGCTTCCTAGGAGTGGCTGGTGAGTTTGAACCGCCAACCTTGCACTTCCAATCAACCTATGATTGAGTGTTTATCCTCTGTGCCATACCAGCACCAGAGGTGGGGAACCTTTTATTCTATCAAAGTTCATGACTACTATTTGTGAGCCATACAAAATGTATCAACTTAAAAAAAATTAGCCTGCTGTACTTGGCCAAACAGTCACTCCATTGTGATGGCTGGTGTGGCACAATGGGTTAATGCCCTGGACTGCAAAGATGGTTTGAACCGCAAGGTTGGTGGTTCGAGCTCACCCTACACAGGGTTGCTATGGGTCAGAACCCGACTGCATGACATTTAACAACAAAGTGGAAGCTGAACTGTGGTTGCCTTCACAGGGCCAGACCAAATAATAAGGCCTGTGGGCTGGATGCTCCCCACCCGATCTAGGAAAACCAAGAAGGGGAGGGAAGTTACCTGAAGTTATATTCACATGCTTTGTAAAACTTACAGTAAGTAGTTGTTAAGTGCTATCTCGTCTGATTCATAATGGCCCTGTAGAGTTACTGGTGTGGCGCTGTGGGTTAATGCGCTGGGCTGCAGTTACTTGAACCGTAAGGTTGGCGTTTCAAGTTCACCAGCTGCTCCTCGGAAACCCTATACAGGGTCTCTATGGGTCGGAATCGATTTGATGGCACTCAACAACATAGAGTTTCTAAGGAGCAGCTGGTGGATTTGAACCACCACCTTGAGGCCCAAATAGACCTTGTGGCCCAGTGCTTATCCTCCAACACCACACCAGGATTTGTATAAGTTATCTAAAGTGAATTTGAGGGAAAGCACTGGGGGTGGGTTCCTCACTTTTTCACCAGGGAAAATTTTCCTTATACTGTGCATTTCAACTCATAAGGACCCCATCCAACAATATTTTTTGAGCTATAGTATTTACAAGCGCCGATTCCTGGTATGGTGTTGTAGGATCAGCACTGTACTGCAAACCAGAAGGTTGGCAGTTCAAACCCACCAGCTGCTCCTCAGAAATCCTTTACAGGGTTGATATTTCTGCTGCACTTGATATTGACAAGAGCAGATCACCAGCTTTCTCCTGTTGAGCAAGTTTGCACCAACATTTTGGTTAACAGCCCAGTGTTGAACGAGGCTGCCATCAGGGCTTCCAGAAATTCATGGATAAACTCCCCTTGTCTTTCCATTCCAGTTCCTCACGTATTTTTTGAAATGCCCTTGTCTACATGTTGGTTCTCCTGTATGTATGTAAGACTCTCTGGTGGCACCATGGTTAAGCACTGTTAACTGCTAATCAATTGCAAAAGGTGGGCAGTTCAAAGTTACCCATTGATTCATTACTCAATGCTCTGTGGGTCACACAAGATCTGGCTCCAGGAATCACTAGAGCCACTTTTTGGGGACCCCCACACAGGGGGCTCACCTGCCTGCTTTCAATAGGATGCCAGTGGGGAGATGGGTGGGGTCAGCTCTCACCATACCCTCCCTGGGCCATCAGACTTGGTGGGATTAGCAACATCGCCAGCTAACGTAGCTGCCTACAGCATCATGGACAGCCAGTTGAAAGAGCTTCATATTGTGTGCCTCTGGATGACCCCAGGGGACAGCACTGCCCCTTAGGGTCTTCAAGGCTCCAGTGACCTCACACAACAGCTCTGGTCAAGAATCAAGGATCTGCTTCTTCAGTGCCCTCAAGTTGGCTGACTCATACCAAGGCTAGATACAAATTGAGACAGTAGCAGACACCATGCTATTGATCCCATCAGAGCAGCTGGGGTGTTAGTCTGTCCAGGGGGCAGGGGTGAGTGGGTTTGCCTTCATTTAAAAAAACAAAAACAAAAAAACACTCTCCCTAGTGATCACATGTCTAAAATGAGAGGTGGTCTCAGCATCCTGGCTAGACTTCTACCCAGACTCGTTCATTCAGGCAGCTCCAGCATTCACAGGCAGACGTGCCTCAGCCCACCAAGTGACAGTTTCTGCAGGGTTCTTTGGAATGAACAAGTTAGTTACGACAGTCCTCACTGGTGTAGGAAGAAATCTTTATTATACAGAAAATGGGGTGAACAGAGTGGAATCATTATGAGCTAGCCTCAGATCCCTGGGTGTCAAAAGTCCCTGGGCCAATGAGCTCAGGGACAGTCGGGACCCATGGACACAGCTGCTGTGGGATCTCCAGTTGAGCTCACCAGCCTCCTCTCACATGTTAGAAATGCTCCGATGTCGCGCACACACACACAAGACACTCGGTAAGACTAAATTACTTCAGCAAAGCAAAATTTTACTTCTGCAGAAGGGTGCGTAGCTGCACATACAGAATAGGCTAGCAAGTACAAAAGGAGGGCAGTCCACTCCGGTTTTATCCCTGACACAGGGCTGTGTCTCACCCTGTTGATTAGTCTTGAGTGCACAGTCTTGTCTTCACCCAACTGGCTAATGTGAACTGTGCTTGGAGGCAGGGGGTTAGGGCTTGAGAAAGTTTGGAATCTCTTTGTTCCAGGAGGAACAAAGGGCAGTGTACCAAGAACTGGTTTTGGCCAGTTCACAGCATGAATACAAAAATGGAAATTTCCTTAAAAGTGCTCAAAATGGGCTAGAACCAAGCTTGTTCAGTTTTGGCTCCAGCATTTTTTTTGTACCCTTTGAAGGGAAGACATTTGTACTCCTTTTTCCCAGGATTCCCTCCTCTTTTATGTTACATGTCTTCATACTGTCTTCAAGCTTTGTGAGGAGTTGGCTTGGATATTCTTCGGTATCTAGTAAAAAAGACTATCAGATTGCTTAGTTATAGCTGTTTTTATAAGTCTCTGGATTTCGTTTCGTTCTGCTGTGAGTCAGTACTGAGTCCATGGCACCTAACAACAAATCTTAGGCTTCTCTGTATAATCTATTTGAATGCTCTGGAAGGAAGGGTCAAAACCCAGGATTCCTTCCTCCCAGAGGTATCAGCACACAAGACATGCCTCAGAAACCTGTTTGGCTAAGGTATAGATGACCATGCAGCCATAAACCCAAAGGATTGCATCACACCTTGCCTGGTGACCCCAATGGCTATCTTGATGTAATTGCATCAGGATTTCTCTCCTTAATGGCTTAGGATGCTGGAAGCATTTCCCTTGCAGCAGGCAAGAGCCACGTGCTCTCTGAATTTCCCTCTGCCCCCATTTTAATTGTTTTTTCACCTGGAGTGACAACCGGGGCAGGAATATATAGTGTCAGATGAAAATTAGGTTATCTCCGGGGACAGAGCAGTTTGGCCATTTCATCTGCTAGGTTGTTGCCTTGATGTTCAAAAGTGGAGTCCTTTTGGTGCCCAAGGACATGGACTATTGCTATCTTTTTAGGTAACTTTAGGCTGTCTAACACTTGGAATGTTAGTTCCTTGTGTATTAGATCCTGCCCTCGGCTGTTTATTAGTCCTTGCTCTGCCCTTTATCTCCCGACTGTGTGCGCTACTCCAAAAGCATTCTTAGAATCTGTATAAATTGTCCCCCATTTCTTGGTTTAGGGCAAACAAGTCACAAGTTTGTGCTGACCAGTTATTGGGCAGTTGACCCGACCACTGCTGTGGGAGTTATTACCATCCACTACAGAGTACCTATTG